CAAAGTTACAAGCAACTGAAAACAGTCTTATAATGGGATGTGCTGGGCAACCTTAACTATAGGCAGTGCTACCAGCCCCATCTGTAATATTTATAGAGTGCTAGTTTGTATAGCACTGTAACAGAGAGAATGTACCAAAATAAACAGGAACCTGCCTGGAGTGACTAACAGAAGTTGGACCAATAAAAGATACTCATCCAGCCTTGTCTCAAACTAAAAACACACAGGATAGCATGATTGGGTTACAGCCAGAATGGGGCATAGAATAATTTACATACACTACACATTTTTAGAGGTACTTATGAATTAATAGTTCTAGTTTTGTTTGAAGTTTTAAACTTGAGTTGTTTGAGTTACACTGGATAAGCAATTAAAAAAAAAATCCAACATAAAGGTATCCCATCCCCTTGTTTAGCGTAACAAAAGCAGCCAGAACAGATTTTGCTTCAGTCTTTTGTAGTCTCACTTTGAGTTTAGTCAAAGTGAAAAGTTTCTGACCAAAATATTTTTAAAAGTTTGGAATGACTGAGAAAGAGGGAGTTTAAGATGAAAGTACATTCCCTCACAATAATGTAATGAAACAAATAACTGCACAGCAATAGACCTCAGTCCCAAGGTGGGTTATCAAATGTTAGTTACACTGGAGTTGAGTAACATACCAGTAAACTTCTCTTTTTAGGACTTTATAAATAAACCCAAATACAGGTTGCAAGAGTAAATTTGACAATATTGTTCTTTGCACTTCTGAAGCATCAAAATATCTAGTCTATTGCCTCCTGCCCCTTCTGATCTAGCTATGAATGGCCCTGGAATCATTAAACAGATGGCCAAATTCAGAACTGGTGGAAGTGAGAAACTCCACTGGCTGAAGGTCACTGGAGGACAAACCTAAATGCTTAGTAGTTACTACAGTATATTAATTACTGTGCTTTCTATTTATTTGCATGTTCTAAATATAAACAGGATGGTATCAAAAAGCAGACTATTTGCCTCACATCATGACAATGGAATTCACCTCTCACAATGAGCCAAGTAAGTAATTTGATGCAACTACAAAATACCCAGTTTACTAAACAAAACCAATAGATATCAAATTGTGTAAATTATGTATTTTAAGATCTACAATGGGACTTTTTTTTTAAAGGAAACCAAAACTAGATAATAAGAGTAAATTACCAAAGAATCCCACAAAAGCAAGGAGTCCTAGAATTTAAGATCAGAAGGGACCACCAGATCATCTGGTCTAATCTGTATATCACAGGCCACCAACACCCAAAATTAGACTGAAGTATTTACAGCCCACAGGAAACTAACCTATTATGTGCCCCAGGCAAACAGTAAGAGGGACTCAGGTGTACCAATTCCCAGGGCCTCTCAAAGGCAGGGAACTGATTCAGATATACCCAGATGATCTTGGCAAGTAGCCCACACCCCATGCAGCAGATTAAGGCAGCTCCCACCCCCAAGGTCACTTCTCAAAGAAGGAAATCAGATTAATTATGGGACTGTCTACCTTTGGTAAAATCATGTTGTATAACATCTATTTGCCTCCGTGAATTTAAATTATTATTTCCTTCACAATTGGCTCTAAAACCTTGTGTACTACTAAGATCAGATTAACTGGTTTGTAATTGCCTGGATCACTTCCCGCTCCCACTCCTTTCTTAAATATACATATGGCTTTAACTATTTTACAGACATATGGTAGTATCCTCAAATAGACAGAATTATTAAAAATCCTTGCTATCTGATTAGCAATCTCCTATGCCAATTATTTCAGTATTCTAGGTGCATTCAGCTCTGTTTTTCTTCAACCTCAGATATGGTAATATTTCTATACACTTTCCATATCCCAGTCCAGCCCTGGGGTTTTACGACAGACCCTAACACTATCCCAACAGAACCTCTTTCATGATCCTTCTCTAATGATTTTGACCCAAACAGATTCCTTTTGTTCATACTATCACTTTGTAGTCCTTTATAGTTTACCAGATCATTGATGTACAAAGCTACTCCCATCACCTTTACCTTTATTTCTGACTCTCCTAAACAGCATATATCCTTCAGTTCTTTTACTCCAATCATTAGTGCTATTTCACAATGTTTCTGTAGTCCCTATAATGTCTGGTTCGACCTTTGCACCAGTAATTCCAGTTCCTCCATTTTAATGGCAAGACTTATTGCATTCATATACAAGGATATGAGTTTCCTTCAGACCTCACCCAGTTTTCCAGCTGGAATTGCAGAAGCATTTAAAAATGTCACACATCTTTGTATATTGCCAAATCAATCATGGGCACTTGCTCCTCAGGCAGCAAATCTATGAAGATCTCCAGTTTGCGTGTCGGAATTTTACAGGAGCTGTAGGGCTGCCATACTTCAATACTATGGAGGCATCCCTTTAATTTCATTACATTGTATATGCCACTATTAGAGAGCAATCTTAATAACTACACAAACATACAAGCAATTCACTTAATATGGATGGGATCATACACAAAGGAATATATTTTATAGCTTTGATTGTTTATTTACAATCCTTTGTGCCTCTCAGAGGATCGCCACGTGCTTTACCAAGGTATGTGTGTAATATCACTATTATACAGATGGGGAAATTGAGGCATGGGGAGGTTAGAGGGACATTCAACTTTCAGTGTTTGTTATTTTTGCAAGTAAAATCTGATATTATTGAAAAACTAGAGGAAAATTCTAGTCTGTTTTTCAGTTTACTGTGCACTTGACAGCACTTTATGTATTCATGTTCACTGTTTCCCCTGTATAGTCAGTTCCCTCTGTGCACACTGAAAGGGAAGGGAAGATAGTCAAAAAAGCTAAATGTGATTGTAAAGCTATAAAAACTGACAGTAACATAGGGGCAGCTGTACTGCCTGAAATCACTTAACTCATATTTTGAAAATGATTAGATTTCAAGTTGATGTTTCTAAGTGACTTTTCCAGGGTTATGCGGGAATTCAGTCAGGAACACACTATACTCTGTGTGTGTGTGTAGGGTGTGTGTGTCCAGATTTGGGAGCAGAGGAAATCATAATATGTGGCTCTCCCCTTCCCACTGGGAAAGTTGGTCGGCCACCTCTGCAGCACCATTCACTTCCCTTCCCCTCCACTAGACCTTGTGAAGGGCGCTCCACATACGGTGGGAAAGGCTGGAATGGTGGTGGTGGGTAAAATGGGGCAGGAATGCATATCATCTCCCATCTGGCCCTGTGGATTTATTCTTTTTCCCATGGAGTGCCCCTCTCAGTGGGGAAATCCCAGGGACCAAAAGGGGTGTAGAAGAGGCAAGAGTTGCTGCAGGAACATGCAACTGCCACTGAAATGGCCTTAGTCTTCTGCTGTCTCCCCTCCAGGAACTACAAGTGTTCTAGCCAGGCCATGCACTCTATACCACATGGGTTGGAGTGAGAGGGGCAAACTCACACCAAGCTCCTCCCCAATGGACTGATGCAGGGATGGGGAGGGGAATTCCACAAGAGGATTCTTGTGGACTTTTCCTTTTCTTGGAGGGTGCAATCCGAGTCCTGGTCTAGTGGCTTGACATTATGATATACTGAAATTTATTTGCTGATTAGAACTAGACATTCAGTTATTAGTTTTCTACATGAAAAATCACTCCTGTGTTATATCTTCGTGGACATACTCAATGCTCTGTGTGTGTATCTTGTTGCTCCTACATAGAAACACATACCCTGCTATTCTTTTTTTGTAGAAGCTTCATTAGGCACCTATTGAAGTACAGTATGAGAAATGCCTTTGTTGTAAGACTCCCAGCTCCTGATCTTTGTGGAAGTAATTAAATATATAACATGAAATCAAGCTACTTCAGAATATTTTAATCAGACCCAGTAACTTTTGCACTGTTCATTCCAGATCTCTCTCTCTCCTTGTCCCTCCTCCCACATTTCCTCTTCTGCTTTTCTCTTCCTTTTCCCTTGTTTCCTTTTCTACCAATCCTTTCCTCTCCGGTTGTTTGTCAATAAAATGTTTGTCTTTAGGTGGGACCTGAACTGTGCTATGTCAGCTTACCTGGGGATAGAGCTTTCAGTAAGTACAATAAACCACGACACCGAATGATAGGGTAACCTCAGAATCTGATACCTCAATATAGAACTCCCCCATAAAAGAGGGGCCAGCCCCTTTAGAGGATGTAGACAGACCCTTCATGTCCTGTCTTTCTCCCCCATGCCTGGCACTATTTAGTCTCCTCCAAATTGATGTTGCATTTAATCTGCAATGTTGGAAGACTTTTGTCTGGCATTTTTTGGAAGACTTACAAGACACACTTTAGCTAATGTATGCACAATACACACTACATAGAAGGTGACATCCTAACCCTGCCGAAATCAATGGCAAAACTCCCATAGACTTCAGTGGGGCCAGGATTACACCGATTAAGCAGATTTAAGCTCCTTAAAGGACATTCATAAAGGTTTGCTAATAAACCATTCAGCTTCTCTTAAGAATCTTTTTCTACATTATAAATAATTTTAATATCTTGTTATTAGATATTACAACTCTTTATTGCACAATTGCTTCCTGATGTTTCATTACTATGTGTGTATCAGAGAGACTGTGAAAGTCATATTATTAGAAAACAATATAGATAAAAGTTTCCTTGTCCCAGTCAGCCCACCTATAAGTAAGGAAAGAGACCATATTAGATACTGATGCAGTCATGCTACATCTAAGCCAAACTTTTCTGGGAAACAGAAATAAAAATGTAATGCACAAAAATTAAAAGCCATCCTCCCCAAAATATCTAAAAGTTATCCTTTCCCTGATAATGTAAAAGTTTGCTGAGATTTGTTTTCTGGGTTCATAAGTACTTTGTAGAAATCATTACAGTACCTACAGGAGATAGTTTTTTAATAAATGCAAAGTAATAATAATGCATCTTTGACACTAAATCATGCTACTTGCAGGCTATAACTAACTTATTTGTACAGGGTACAAGAAAGTTTACTGAATAAACATAACCATACTTGTTTTTGCTGTGTTGTCATTGCTGACTGGTTTGGGCACGAGTCCTACCAAAGCTGCAGACTTCAGAGCGTTGCCATAGCTCACTGCTAAGTTTTCTGAAGCTTTCTTGGCCAGTGAAAAGATGGGAGCAGACCATCCTGATTCTTCAACAGTTTTCTCTCTCTCCTCGTTTTTGAGCTCAGTTACATTAGGAATCAGGTTTCTGTCAATGATTTCAAAATCTTTCTGTTCCAGAGCAGATGCATTGCAACTCTCTCCTTCAGCCATCTTTAAAATGTCATATGACACTAGTCATGAGCAATCGAGTGAAGCAGAAACTCTCTGCCCTGTCTTCCAACTTGTAGTTGATAGGAGTTGTACAATCACTCAGAGCACACTTTTTTTATACAACAGCCACTTGCATGAGCAAACGTGTCAGAGACCGAAACCTCTGGATTGTGGACATTTTGCCTTGTATGCTTCAAATTATACACACAGCTATATATTTTCTGGTTACTGATTAATTACAACAAATTATATCCCTTTAGGTATTGTGTAGTGGATGTCCTTTTGTATTATTTCCAATTGTTATTTGTAGCAATCTGAAAAAACAAATGAATCCTCTGCATTTCTACACAATATTTTAAGTTAGCATTTTGCCAGAGTATATGAAAGTCACAGATTTTGCAGAATTTATAAACACACTCAACCTTTTGAGAGTGGATTGTCCTGCCTAAAACTGGACCATCATAACCTGGAGAAGAGGGTTGATAGAGATTTATTATACTTTTTGAAAATGAAATATGCTCCCTTGCACTATCTACACTACAAAAATAACCATATTTAAGCAGAGTTGGGAAACATGGCTGCCTGTGTGGACAAAAAGGATATGTTATAATCATGTTGGGGAATCAACCAACCTGATCCTGGTTATAAAAATGTAACCTTACCAGGTATCTATAGATTAACACAGGGTGCCTTAACATAGCTGTAACATACAGGTTTCTGTCCAGCAACTATATAGCTATTTAACATAGTTGGACTACAGCTTGTTTAAACTTGTATTAAGCATGGTTGGCTCACCTGTTTCTAAACTGGCTATTTTTGTTGGATAGACTTAGGAAATATTTTGTTTGGTGGAGGCTAAAAGGACAAGGAGGTAATTTGGGACATCTTGTTACCAACAAACTTGGTAGCAGAAGAAACATCTTTAGACTACAAGTCCCTCATCTTTTGTTTGTTTATATATAGTTTCTACTCAAATATTTTTATTTGATTGCAATACAGAGGTGCCAAACTGCAAGGAGAGTTACAGAAGTTCCCTTGAGAGAATGTATGTACAGCATACTTAATAGGTTTCAGAGTGGTAGCCGTGTTAGTCTGTATCAACAAAAACAAATAGGAGTCCTTGTGGCACCTTAGAGACCAACAAATTTATTTGGGCATAAGCTTTCATGGGCTAGAACCCACCTCATCAGATGCATGGAGTGAAAAATACAGGAGCAGATATAAATACATGAAAGGATGGGGGTTGTTTTACCAAGTGAGAGGTCAGTCTAATGAGATAAATCAATTAACAGCAGGATACCAAGGGAGGAAAAATAACTTTTGAAGTGGTAAGAGAGTGGCCCATTCCAGACAGTTGACAAGAAGGTGTGAGTAACAGTAGGGAGAAATTAGTATTGGAGAAATTAAGTTTAGGTTTTGTAATGACCCAGCTACTCCCAGTCTTTATTCAGGCCTAATGTGATGGTATCCAGTTATCTCATTAGACTGACCTCATACTTGGTAAAGCAACCCCCATCCTTTCATGTATTTATACCTGCTCCTGTATTTTTCACTCCACGCATCTGATGAAGTGGGTTCTAGCCCACGAAAGCTTATGCCCAAATAAATTTGTTAGTCTCTAAGGTCCCACAAGGACTCCTCGTTGTTCATACTTAATAGATAACTTTAGACAAGACTGATAACAGTGGGGGAAAGGAAAGAAGCTGGTCATCATGCCCTGTTGTGAAGGGGAGTGTCTTTTTGAGCTGGTTAACTTTTGTAAATTAGAAAGTTTGGGGCCACACTGAGGCCCCTTTGTCCCAGGGAAATCTGTTAAAGGGATCTGAGGGGAGGAGTCTGAGTTTCTGTTCAGTGACCTTGTGTGTGGTGGCATGCTAGACTGGATGGCCTCTGGTATTGATGAAACAATATATCTTCTCCCTCCAGGGTCCAACTCCTGCACAAGTGCTTCCAAGAATGGGGAGTATGGTGCCATGGTGGTGGATGAACCTCCCCTTTCATGGAAAAGAGGGAGAGAGAGATGTATGTAAACATAGGGAACACAGTCTGGCCCCAAATCTGTATCTTCCTAACATTTTGTATTTAAACTACTGTTCTACTCTCAAGTATTCTCAGGCACTGTAAAAATGTAATATTCCACAGTTACTTATTCTCCATAAAACAGAGGGCAACTTCTGAGTGCCTGCGGAGGATAATAGAACCTCTGAAAGCTGAAATCTCTTATTCACTCAGGATTTATTCAAACAGCATATAGGCTTTAACTGCTCAGCAGCAGAGCTACAACCATATGTTTTGAACGCCATCTAGTGGGATGAAATGGTATTTGACACAATGCCCATTTGTTTGTTTTGTATGGAAACTAGAACAAAGGACAGTTGTTTTGTAATAGTTGTATAGGCCCGTGTCCTACAATTGACAGCATGGCCAAGGCCCCATAGACTTCATTGGGGTGCAGGAGCCACCTGGAGAGTGAGTTGCAGAAGCAGAACCCCATGGGACTAAGGAGGTGGTCACACAAGAATGATATTCTCCAAGGACCTTTGATGATGTCATCTCAATTGAACTGTATTTAAATAAAACAAAATAGATTTATACTTTCAAATAATGTGAAAGCAGAAAGGGGGCAAATAGAGGGTGGAGATTTCTTCCTTCCCTCCTGAACTGCTGCTCCCAACAATTAATTATGCAGCAGATACAGATTAACATTACAGTACACATGTTCAATTGCAAAATATTAACTGGAAGTAAGACACGCACAACAAAATAATATTCCTTCCCATAAAATGAGAGAAAATGAAAAACTCAAAAGAAATATGTGAAAGTGCACAGTAAGGTAATAGTGGAACATTTTAGTTCAATCTTCCCAGCATTTGAGCTCAAAGGAGCTATTTTACTGTGCACAAGGTGACTAAAAATATAAAACTATACAGCATACAGTTTTAAAGTAATGAATAGAACCCAGTTATATATCTAGTAAAAGTGAATTTGAAGTTAATAGGTCAACCACTGAAATAGCATTAAACAATCCCCCCCCTTTTAGCAATATAAGCAACGTGAAATGCTAGGGTTGTTCCAGTTAGGTTCAAATTCCTATTGGGAGTCTTAAGAAAGCAACTCAGGATGTTGTTTAAGTGTGGTCAGGCTTTAGCAGAATTGCTGGTATATCACATACTAAGACTAAATTACTATTAGTTCCCCCCCACACACATTTATCAATACAAGGGTCATTAAACAGGGGCAGTGCTACTACTTAAAGTTCTTTATATTCATACAAATCCCAAAGAGAGTGCAGTGCTACTTCTGCATTAGATGGTCCCCTTCTGCTGTGACATTTTATTTCAGTAGTCACCTCTGCCACAGATTGTTAGTGCAGCTCTTACCATCTGTGTGAAGGCAGAGCACTATTTTCTTCTGACAGCCCATTAAGTTAGTTGCCTAGCAAGGTTGTGAAGAATGCAGAGGTCAAGTCTGTTACTTCAGTGACATATCTGTCCTATTTCTACTTGCCCTGATGTAGAAATCTGCCAGATGCTTCTAAACATGGGCTGCTATAACAGGCCATCTTTGATCCTACTGAAGTCTGGTTCTGGTTTCACACAGCTCTTATGTCTTACTGTTGTGTTTTACTATTTTTTAAAATACTGTTTTAGATATCAAAATCATTCATATGATAATATAATGGAGGGAGGCAGAGTAACGATATATCTGCTTCTTATGGACTCAGCTTTGATCTTGAAATTACATACTTAAGAGATTCTGTCTATCTGAAATCAAAGGTTCTGAATTTTAAACTAAAAGAGGATGGTTTATATCAACTTCACTGATCTTCAGTGACATTGAAAAGGATGGAGGAAGTATCACTGAATGAAGATTAATGCAATTTTATATAAGCAGATTCTTCTAGTTCAGTTTTTCCCTTAGCTTTATTCTGATGTTCAGTAATACGGATTAAAGATATATTTTTTGCTATAGAAAGTAGTCTGATATTTCAAATGCATCATGCACTATTAAAGGATGAAATTTTATTAATTACTCATTAATAAAATATCTGATTCTGATCAGCCATTAAACATACCTTGCATTTCTGTAATGTCTTCCACTAGAAGATGGGTGTACTTTACAAATATTAAAGTGACACCATCAAATTAAAAATCATTTCTATCTGTTTTTTAAACATTCTAGTATTACAGGTGACACCTAAAATTACTGTACCAGGAAGAGATGAGAAAAAATGTTTGAGTATATTCTGTGCATTTGACAGCACTTTGTATTTAGTCAACTAGGCCTGGATCCTGCCCTCTACTTACATAGAATACAATGGGACTACTTATGGGAATAAAGTTATTCAGATGGGCAAGTATTTGTAGGATTGGGGTCTTAGTTTCCCCTGTGTTTGTGTATTTTTCCACACAGCAAGAGGGGAGAGAAAAAATCTAGTAAAATAGGAAAATGGGATTGAAAACCACAAAAGTTGGCAGGGGAATTCAGAGACAGATACAGTATGGGAAACTGCCTTTAACTCATTTTTAAATTTATCGGATTTTGAGCTATAATCATAGTTTAAGGCTAGAAGGGGCTGCCAGATCATTTAGTCTGACATCTTGCACATCACAGGTCACTAAACCCCACTAGTTACCCCTCTGTTGAGCACAAAAACCTGGATGAGACTGAAATGTTACAGCCCTGAGGAAACTAAACTCTTGTGTGCCACAGGCAGAAAACAGAAGGTGCTGAGGTGCACCAATTCCGTAGGCCTCTGCAATGTTAGGGAACCGATTTGGTGAGATACCCACAATGATCCTAACAAGCAATTAGTGCCCAATGTTGCAGAGGAAGGAAAACAAATAAACAAAAAACCCAAGGTCCCTGCCAATCTGTCCTGGGGGGGAAATTCCTTCGTGACCCTGAAAATAGTGATCAGGATGACACTGAGAATGTGAACACAACCAGCCAGCTAAGCATCTGAGAAAGAATTCTTAGTACTGTCTTAGAGCACTGTCTGGTGTCACATCTCCGGTTGTCACC